GGTATCTATGATGAATTTATTCAACAGGCAGGAAGAAAACAGCTGATAAATAAAGAAATATTTAAAAAACAATGTTTTTCTTAAAATCAGCGAACACCATAACCACAATACAAGATCAAGTCATTAGAACTATGTAAAGCATAAAATGATAGGAATTGATTGAACAATATTTTATCATTACGCAATTTATAATTGGATTTCATTACATGATTCAAAACTTCAAATTAATAAAAATGTCAAATGTCAGATGAGATGTACAAGCGAAGAACGGTGCAGAAATGTCATCACTAGATAATTTCATATTACCATATCTGCGCTAGTGTTTGATATTTGACCTTAGGATACCCACATTAAGCCGTTACTCATAAAGGCTCCATTGCAAATATACTGTATTGCTTTTAATGGGGGTTATGCTGATATAAAAAATGTATACATATTTAGCGTTGTTTAAGGTTTTGTTGTTTCAATATTCAATCAAAAAATTTATGTTTCACTTTTAGATGAGATGTATTTTAAATCACCTGTGCAAACTTTTGATATTGTTAATCTAACTATATTTTACCTTTTAGCTTTACCATTTAATTCTTTGCGTGTTTTTTCTAAATGCTTTGTTCCTTCAATTTCGAACTAACCATCAGCAGACCTTTGGACTATTTGCTATTACAAAGTGATGTTGCTTACATACATTTGAACAATTTTCACTTGTTATTTTATATATCATTAAAAAACTTAGGTTCCAACTCTCTCAGGCAAAGTTGACCTTAGATAATTTGTTCAGGTCCTTTTTTTGTCATATAACTCCTAACGAAAAAACATATTTGCGTATCATTTGCTTTCAAAGAAATCGTCGTTTTATTCCTCGAAGTGACAGCTGGAAAACGCCTGTCATTGAAGAGATGCACAATATGTTCTCTGATGTACATATATAACTGAATGTTTTCTCAGAATAGATTATGACCAATAATATTCTGATACGTATTTCTTGCCTTGATACCTTACAGTATGATAAATATCGAGAAAACACGCGAAAACATTGTTTTGTTGATAAATTCAACAAAGTATAAGATTCTTAAAATTATTTGAGTGTTTTACAATTTAGAATTAGATGTGGTATGATTGCCAATTAAACAAATATCCAACAGAGTCCGAAATTAAGCGACTTGAAGCAATTAAAAGCCCTCAACAATGAGCAAAACCCATACCGTAATGTCTGCTATAACAGACCCTGCCATGAAAAAATGTGAACCATCAAACGAAAAAAAAATCGGCCTGATTTATAACAAAACAATTAAACGAAAAACCAATAAAACAGACAGCAACTGACGACAACCACTGAATTATAGGGTCTTGACTTACGACAGGAAAATATATGATGTGGAACTGTTAAACTTGTTTGTGAGCGCTCAACCCTCGACATTGGCGTAGCAGCACAGCATAAAAATAAACTGTAAAATCATTTGAGAAGGTTTGACTCATCAGATTCGCACGAAACACAAAAACAACTTATATAAAGATCAGACATAAGATACTGACCAAAGAATACTTGAAGGCTAGTTCAAAGCCAATGACAGCTAATACATAAATCATATACATTAAAGTATCAATCGGTACACATCCAACACATTTAGTGTAAAGACGTCATAAACAGTTACAGAAAGCATGATCTTGTGAAATGCAAAACAAGTGCATAATGTCAACAGGATGAAGGACAATAAGTATTTATAGATGTACATCAGTAAACATTGAGTTATGTTTCAATTTATTCAACATAAAAAATCAATGTTATCGATAAAAAAATGTCCATTGATCTATGGTGTTAAATTGTTTATTCAAAGGACCAATGAGTTAACACGGATTGTATCTATATTTATGGGCTTTATAAACTACATGAGTTTACTATGATAAAATTTTCGGATGAAAAAAAAATTATGTGATTTAATATGAAAATTGCTGTGCACAAGACATATATTCTTATCTAAATCTCAAACACACTAGCTAACTAGATACCACCCAAAAAATGTCATCTTACCCGTACTCATTATTTTCACCCAAGCCAACCAATGTTTATCCTTATTCCAAAATGATAGGTGCTTAGCTCCTAAATTATGCAATAAGATCCAACAATTTAGAAAAATACAGGAATTTGTATTTTCAAAATAGTATCTTCAAAAATTGGTGCAAATATAAATCGAGATCATGGAGGCTATCTCGTTCATCAGTTTACAAAGATTACAGTTTAATAATAAAAATGATTTATTCTTGAAAAAAATATCAACACAACAATGAACCCATTCGTATAGTGCAATACTCTATGTTGGTTTATGAATATAAAAAAAACTTATCCCTGATTCATATCTTACTAATGATTGAGATTTCATTGTTGTTGCTATGAAGAAAGGGTGGCACTGTAGTATTTACATTCCGGAATTTAGGTTGCTCTTTTGTGTACCCTACTTAAGTCAATGTATTTGTTTCCACACAAGTACAACTATATTACTTTTCTTCAGGTTTAATTTGTAGTTCTGTGGAAACATGACACCAGTATGAGCTTTTTTGGGACCAGTAAGTGGTTAAAGGGTTCTTACTTTTTCAATTAGCCCCATATATATCTGAAATAGAGTTAGCATTAGGAGTTTCTTTACATTGACAAGACAATTGTTTTGGACAAAGAATGTGATTATGATTGTATGTCAGATATATTAGATAGATTAGTCATTTTCTATGCAAATGTCATGAATTATTTTAATTTGCTGACACTGAAAAGCACAAAAAAGGTAAATCGATTATGTAAGGGGACATAATTCAACTTAATGCATACATGAGAAAGAGACAAACAGCCAACTTAGAGATATATTCTAGTACATGTATTGTCAAACAGATTTTTAGAATAATAGTTCACTGCCATCTAAAGAATCTTGTTATGTTGCCAACATAATCTGGAAATGCTTAAAAGAATGTAAGGCATGCTGTAAAATGTGGAATGACTTTGATATTTGTTTTTATGATTTGGTACGTATACTGTTTCTTTCAGTCAGATTAACTAGAAATAGAGTTAGCAGTCCAATAATTCCTCCTGCATCACCATGATTTGAAACATTATATATTTGGCTTTTGTTCACTCCTTAAAAGTGGTAAGATGAAAAAAGTGAAAATCTGCCAGCTGGGGTAGGGGTATAATCTTTTATTTTTTTTTGGTAAAAAATAAGTGCAGACTAGTATTCTTTATTGTAAAATGTTTCCAAGTAAGAAGTCTATCCATCATAGGTGTCATGACTGGTTTCAAGTTTGTGATGTCTTTGTTAAGGTGGCACGGTAGTATTTACATTCCGGAATTTATGTTGCTCTTTTGTGTACCCTACTTAAGTCATTGTATCTGGCCATTGTGATTCGACAAAAAATACAGTATCTACTGAACATACTTTCCAAAACTGAGGAATGAATCAGGTGTAGAAAAATATGAAATAATTTTACATACAGGTGAAAATGAATTTTTGACAATTTTTTTAAATTTTGTTATCACTGCATGATAAAAGACCTAACAGCACTAGAGGCATTAGGTTTATAAATATAGCAGAAAAAGTAAACGGTCATGATACATATTCAAATTCATTTTTGAATATTATAATGAAAGTACGTCAGTTAACTGTGCATGTAGAATTTTGGGCAGTGTTAGAAAGTGGTGAAAATTCTAAAAAGGCTATCATTATCCCTATGGAAATACTACCGTGCCATCTAAACTGTCCGTACAAATAAATTTTGGTTTATCAATATGACAGCCCTTTTCCGTTATTTGTAAAATTGTCAATTGAAAGAATTATGACAACAGTGAGCAGTTTTTACCGGTTCCTACTTATATATAAACATATAAATAACACTGGTTCATCCTGTATATATTGTATCACAATGATGATGTTAATCTCGTTGTTATGAGAAAAAAGTAAAATAACAAAAATACCGAAAAGCGAGGAAAATTCAAAACGGAAAGTCCCTATTCAAATGTCAAAATTAAAAGCTCATACACGTCAAAGAATGGATAACAACTGTCATATTCCTGACTTGGTACAGGCATTTTCTTATGTAGAAAGCACATTTACAAAAGTTGTAAACAATTATTAATCGTGTTTTTGTAATACCATATTTATAAAAAAAAAGGCAACAATAGTTACACTATGTTTTGAAATCTTGTAAATCCATTTTAAATATAAAAATCAAGTGACAACTACTGAAGGAATCGCCTGAAAACCGACAGGAAAGAGACTGGGTGCATCGGTAAGGGTCACTCCCCACCCTAGCTATGCATCTTACAACCGCTTTATGAATTCCGATTCCGTCAAAATGTCCCGATCGGTAAATGTATAGATAAGATGACTATTCTCATATTTGAAGATTTACGATCGCAAAAACATACCTCACATTAGTTAGGACATGAAAACATCGTATCAGACTACTTATATCTGATGGTGACCGTAAAACGCATGTAGTGTCGATTTCAGTCGTTCTCTATCATAACCTTGTTGGAGCAGTGTTTTACATTATGGGCACATTCTTATTCATAAAGTGCGTACAATGTTAACATGTTCTCGTGTAACGTACCAATTGAAATATATGAACGACATACCATGGAGAAGAGGGTATACTACAACTGAAAAGTGGGAAGTTCACAATGGGGAAACTGAATTGTTCACGTTTGTCATAAATCATAGTTTGAAGTCGTCTTAATATAAAGAAAATATCAAGATATGAAATATATCAAATATCAAGAAAGCTGTCTTTCTCATTTCAGTTGTATCTTTAATATCAAGTTAGCTCGGAAATATAATATGCAAACACTTGCAAAGATATGTGTTATTGAGCAACAAGAAATCTCCCATATATCTGAACATGAAATGAAACAATTTGTCAAGATTTTTGTCTGTTTGTCGCTGAGACGATTTTTTTATGAATTCTACTTCATATATGAGTATAAAACAAATCGGTCTAGTAGAAGTGCATAATAAGTACACATTGTAATACTTTTTATTGAAATAAACCACCACACACGCCAAATATGTTGTCGATAAAAAATGAAGCATTTTAATTATATCGTCTTCGGAGTATTTGTTGTAGGAATCAGTGCAAGTCTTCGCGAAGTAAAATTTTTGGAGACCCAAAACAAGAAATTTGTACCTACAAAAATTCAATTTTGAAGGAAAAGTACCATTAAATGAGAATACTAAACGTATGTAGTCGATCTTTCAATTGATTATCATAAAAAGTAATTTAAAGTATAGGAACATCTACAGTTTTGATATTATTGCAAAATTGTAATGATTGTGTTTGAGGTTTTTATAGTAGATCTTAAAGAATCCATATTTGTTTGACACCGAGGGTTGAGTATAGCCCATCACAATATTTTTGAAGCTATTTTTACAGTTAAAAGCCGTGCTGTCTTTTATCCATTTGTGAAATATTTTTACTAAGTCTATGATGACAGAGATGCCATTACAGCAGCCCTCAAAACTACAAGTTTATAAAAAATGAGAAGACATTCTCTTTTTAACCAGTATTTTAGTATGGAGATGGTGTTAATTAAAGGTATATATAGTCAGTATTGTAATTATAATTTAAGAGATGCTTGCAATTAAGGATCTCTATTGTCACCTTTTTATTTAGATGTTTGCAATAAGGATTCCTATTGTCAGTGTTTTATTATAAATATGTTGACAATAAAAGATCTCTTTTGCCAGTATTTTATTATAGAGGAGTTGGCATTAAAGAATGTCTATTACAATATTTTCATTATAGAGATGTTGCCGTTAAAATGATTTCCATTGTCAATATTTTGTTATAGAGATATTTCCAATAAAGGATCTCTTTTGCAAGTTTTTCATTATGACGATGATACCAATAAATGGTCTCTATTGCCAGTATTTCAGTATAAAGATGTTGGCAATAAATGGTCTCTATTGCCAGTATTTATTCCACTATATGTTATACGTCATTTCAATTTGAACTGCTATTTTGCTTAGACGCTTGGACCATTAATGGAATTTCTCTTTCAATATTTTCTTCCCTCCAAGACAATCTACAGCATAAAATTTCTTTCAGTTTGCTATACTTTGAAATAGCAACAAGAGCCACTGCGCAAATCAAGAAAAGTATAACGACAGCAATGCTTCCACCATAAACGTTGGAGTCAGTAGATCTAGGGTGTTCCTTGTTTGCTGTCACTGTTACTCCTGAAATCATATCAATTCAAAATTTCTTACATACATATACATGTACAGTTAAATTGAACATGTTTGCCAAATCAGTATTTCGATAATTCAATCGCTACCACCCAAGAGGGTGTACCTAAAGGCTCTATATTTGGGCCCTTTAAAAAAGAGGGACAGTCAAACTCACAGATCGAAAACAAACTGACAACGCCATGGCCAAAAATAAAAAGACAAACAGACAAATAATAGTACAGATGACACAACATAGAAAACTAAAGACTAAGCAACAGGAACCCCACCAAAAACTGGGGGTGATCTCAGGTGCTCCGGAAGGGTAAGCAGATCCTGCTCCACATGTGGCACCCGTCGTATTGCTTATGTTATTACAAATCCGGTAAATAGTCTAATTCGGTAGGTCACATTCGTGAAAAGGGAAGGGTATTGTAGTTACGACATAAGGAACTTAATTTAATGTAATCTTAAAAGATATCTTTTTAATTATGTTACACATGGTACTAGTAACTTGTACAATTATGCTGACGATAATGCCCTGTCTTTCAGCAGTCCTGTTTATGACCGTCTAATATCAACATTACAATATGAATTTCAATTACTGAGTGGTTCAAAGAAAATAAGATGCAGGCAAATCTTGATAAATTTTAGTCTATTGGTGAAGGAAAAAAAACATTTGCAAAAAATACATCAATCCAAATACAGCGATTTATTTTGCCATATGAAGAAACTGTCAAGTTACTTAGAACTGATATCGATTACCAACTTAAATTTGATTCACATATCAGTAATTTGTGTAGAAAGGCACCACACCAGCTGGATGTTCTCAAGAGAATTGGATCACATTTAACCAGTCTAAGCAACCTGACAATTTTCCATACCTTCATTTTGATTAGTTTAAATTTTTGCCCTTTAGTTTGACAACTTTTTATCGTCCTCCAAAACTCTTGTTACGAACACAAAGTTTCCAAACCTACACATGAGATACATCAAGACAATCTTTATGCATTTTATGCATTATAAATAGCTTGCATTACAATTTAAATTTTACTTGTTAGTAATTATAAAAACAAATATGGATAATTTTACTTCATATCAATACTGACCATATTTTAGTTTCAAATTATTTTTCAAATTATCATCTGTTTTATAGTATGTCTTAGTGCTGCATATATGGTCATCGTATTAGCTTTTTTTATGCTAGAGTAAACGTTATGCTGTTTTCATAAATATGTATTTGCACGCTACATGCTTTGTTTTATTTGTTACTGTATATATATTTTTTTTATATTCGGAGAAAAGGTCACCAGAGCTGTTGATCAATATACCGAATAAAAAGTTTTACTTGCCTACTTACTGACGATTATGGTGAACTATGTACTACATTCTAATTTTCATTCACATATTTTGGTGAACATTATTGAAGAAAAAACTCGTAAACATATGAATATGTGGTGTATATATAAATGACATAGTAACCTAATAACACAGGAAAACATTAGCAACTGTGTCTGTATAAAAATAAGAAGATGTGGTATGATTGCCAATGAGACAACTTTCCACAAAAGACCAAATGACATAGAATTTAACAACTATAGGTCACCGTGCTGCCTTCAACAATGAGCCAAACCCATACCGCATAGTCTTTTCTTGAAATTGACATCCAAAGGTCCAAATCTGAATTTAATATTACAAGTTATTTCCCTTGTTGATTAGTAAACTGGTACAACTATTGGTTCGTTGAAGTGCAAATATTATCTTTAAATCAATATGGATTAGAAAACGGTAATTGTTGACTCTTTATTGTGCTTCATTGCCGCAAAGAAGTTCTACTGCGCAAGAAGGTGAATAACCTACATCAAATTATAATTTTAGAGTAAAATTCATGATTCCGGGATGAGTTTCTGCTCTAAATTGTGCAAGGTTGTAGATAGATTTATCAGGCTACTAAATTGTAAATTTGTTTGAGAGACAAAAGAATTTTAAAATATAAGATTCATAACCTCTTTGTAGAATTATGATTGGAGACCTTAATTTCTCCAAGTATCACACATTCAGCTTTACTTAAAAAATGCAACAAAATTTATCAATTTTGAAAATGCTTTCAAATTAAATGTTTATGAAAAGTCAATGAAAAAATTCCCCCCACAAACCAATAAAGGACCCATAATTACCAAACTTTCAGTAAATGATACATTTATGAGCCTCATCAAGATTTATGGTCAATAACCAAACTGTCATCATTAATGCAGTCATCCTTACATACGAAAGGAAATTTAAGGGACAGTTGCTATAATTTTTAGGGAATTATTCATTTTCAATACAATTAAATGAATAAGGTTGTTGACTCCGACACTGATGAAAGATGACTGCAAGCTTTACTAAAAATAGAAAGTTGAACTTTATGTCATACTAGTCAGTTAAAAATTTCAGAAAAATCCTGTTATATTTTAATGCTATGAAGCTTTCAAGAATTCATTATTCTTTAGATATCATTTAACGCAATTATGAATGGCAATTAGGGTTACTAAACACATTTGGGACAAAATATATTGAAACAATTCTTCAAAGTCAAGAAGGAAAAAATTTTCTTCGAAATTATGGTAAAATAAATTTAACATATTTTGTTTGAAATAGGGTTACTAACCCCAATTGCAATTGAAATAGTCTTCACACTCAAAATGAATAAAAGGAGTTAGGTATACACATGAACACCGGTCTTTTAATCTTCTGAGTCTGTATTTAGGAATACAACTGAATTAGGATATGCGTAACGTCCCGTAACATCTGGTGTCCCTCCTGTTTTTCTAATTTATAGGAGTTGTTTTGCTATTTATTTCTATCAGTCTGGGATTCTTTGTGGTACTTATTAACACGTTTTCTATGAGTATAATTGTAGTCTACTATCTACTTATAATTCTTGTATTGTCGTCGTTATTTTTGTCAAACTCTTTTGTTATTATAGGAAGCGATGTCAGCGATACAGGAACCTATTCAAGAGGTTGTAGTTTTAACAAAGTACTTTAATGTAGAATATCTGTACTTAAAACGGGTTTGAAAGGTGCAATGCAACAATTACTCGTCAATTTATCTGATTGAAATGCAGTATGTCTACTTCTAAGTGGAAGTAAAATGTTAACATTTTTAATGGGGGAACATTTGTTTCTAAACTGGTTTTTGTCACCAAACACTTCAATATACAACAAAATCTCCTTTCTGTATGGAATTAGTTATATTACGCGATAAAACTGTTTATCATATACCTGCGGTTCTTGGGCTGATATCATGACCTAAGGCATACGATAATAGCCGGAAGCAGTTGATATTTTTTTCATTTCAGCCCGCTAAGCACCATTTCGGAAAAATATGGAATTCACGTAAATTTAATGCTATTATCATTATGTAAAAATTAATAAGTTATTTACTCTAAGTATATGATAAAAAATATATTATACTGTTGCTTTTCTCCACTGTTGAGGCATATGATAGAAAGATTTCATACCGGGTGTATTACATTTGGCGTCCGTCGTCCGTAAACTTTTCACTTTTTGAACTTCTACTTACATGTATGAACCACTTAAAAGGATCAATATATTAAACTGTTATTTTTCTCCATTGTTGAAGCATATGATAAAAAGATCATAAAAAGTCATTTTTCATATCAGATGTATTATCAGCCCTCGGTTAATATCAACCATCGAGCCTTCGGCTCTTGGGCTGATATTGAACCTTCGGCTGGTAATACATCTGATATGAAAATGCCATATAATAATCTGATAATATCAAAACTTATTTGTGATCAAATAGTGCATTTGCGAAAGGAGAAGGTATGAGAATGCCCTTTTTTGTCCTATTAGCTTGTCATTAATATTTATACATGAGCCACGGCTTAACCAAAAACATAATTGACTACACAATATATTTTACAAAGATATCAATGTTTGTTTAATATCTTCTTGGGTTATATCTTGGCTCATATCTATTTTGTCCAAAACCTATGGGTCAATAATTTTGACATATATAGACGTCATAGTGATCATTTTGCACTAAAGTGTCCAGATAATATTAACTCTTTCATTTATGTATCAAATTAAAATCTGAGAGGCCAAATACAGGCTGGTATCGTATATATATGACAAATGAGACGATTTTAATTTTGAAATTATCACTTTCCCCCACGTTAGTAGCAATATACCAACTTCACCTACATATGAGATACACATTTCCCAACTCCTTCCGTATTCAAGAGCTTGCCGCTGCTACTCAGACTTTATAAAACGTCACCAGTGTCTGAACAGAAAGTTGATAAACCAGGGTTATATCAAAGAGGCTCTCGTCAATTTTCTAAAAAGTTCATCGGAAGATACCAAGACCTTCTTGATAAATATTCCGTATCAACATCACAAATAATACATGATGGTCTTGAAGTATAGATTCTAGGTACTGACGTTGTCTATCATCTTAATTACGTGCAACAGTGTTCTTTTATATGTCTTTGTATATTATCAACCTTTACTGCTAAGCCCATTTTTGGTAATATTATTTTGGCGTGGCTCGGTACTTATACATCGTGCCATTGTGCTATTGTGCTACGGTAATTTTTTTGTATTCTTGTCTCTCATTTTTGCTTATGTGCTTTGTCTATATGCCATTTTGTTTTTCTTGACATATCTGTTTGTTTTTATAGTGATTAAGATTATAACACAACGTTGACTCAATGTTGACTGCTGTACCCTTATTTTTGACATTTTTTTTACCTATTATGTCTGTTTGTTTTGTTCACACAGTGAAAATAATGGTGTTTTATGCGACTGTCATACAAGTGAGAGGTTAAGCTAGCTATAAAACCAGGTTTAGTCCACCATTTTCAACATAATAAAATGCCTGTACCAAATCAGGAATATGACAGTGTTCTCCATTCGTTTGATGTGTTTGAGCTTTTGATTTTGCCATTTGATAAGGGACTTTCCGTTTTGAAATTTCCTTGGAGTTCGGTTTTTTTGTTATTTTACTTTTGACTGTTGTACCCCAATTTTTTACATGTTTACCTATAATGTCTGTTTGCTTTGTTCACACATTGTTGTCAATATAATGGAATTTTATGCGACTTTCATACAAGTGAGAGGTTCAGCTAGCTATTAAACCAGGTTTAATCCACCATTTTCTACATAAGGAAATGCCAGTACCAAGTCAGGAATATGACAGTTGTTTTCCATTCGTTTGATGTGTTTGAGCTTTTGATTTGCCATTTGACAAGCGACTTTCCGTTTTGAATGTTTCTTAAAGTTCGGTATTTTTGTTATTTTACTTTTTATATCTCCTCCTTTGTCAAATTATTAATATCATATACCTGTGCATGTGTTAAGTGCCTTCTTGTATACACTAAAATTTTTAACTCCCATATTACAAGATATTGTTAGGAGTACACTACAGGCCTCATGATTCCCAAAATGATGAAGAGTTTCGTTCATAGAGTAAAAAATCCCATTCATTCGTACGTGAGTTTTCACACGATTTGTTACCTCTTCTTCCTGTGAAAATAATGAACAGTCATAATTCATAAATGTATTATATAATTTTTTTTTTCGTATTCCGACCATGCATTTTGCATAAGTGATTATTGTTATTTTAGCTCTATTTCGTTAGTATACCACATGAATAAATTGAGATGTACTTGTAGGATATACAACAGTTTCAAAGCAGCCCAACACAGTAGTACCCGAAAATTAATTTAGTGGTTGAAATAATATCTTAAAAAAACAAAATTATCCATCCTGCTTTCAATCTCTCAATACTATACAAATTCAAAATAACTAACTGAGATTAGCGACTTTACCAAGGTTTAGCTAGCTATAAAACCAGGTTTAACCCACCACTTTCTTCGGAAAATACCTGTACCAAATCAGGATTATGTTTTCCACTTGTTCCGTTACTTGATAACGTTTGATTTTGTCGGTTTTTATAGACTTCCCTTGTTGAATTTGCCTTGGAGTTCGGTATTTTTGTTATATTTTTTTGCCACCATTACATACAAGCTAGAATCAAAACACTAAAATATATTATAACAGGGATATCAACATATGCAAAATTTAATACACACCGACAAAATAACATACTATACAGATTGACGCTATCTTATTAATTCTTGTTCAATATTTTTCTATAGCAAACTACACATCATTTATTATTTCGAACCAAATAATGATTTAGAATATACATATGACTGAAATTCTAGTGTCTTGATTTTCAGAAGATTGTTTCCATAGTTTAGTTTACCTGCGTACTTTTTTTAAATATTCTTCTAAATTATTTATAAAGGTATTCCCGTAACAGTGTGGACAACCGTAGTACATTTGTTGTTCATAATACTGAATCATCGGCTATCGATAACAAAGATTTTTCGCTCACTCAGTCTGTAAGAGGCCTTCTAGTGGGGATTTAAATAATCACTTGGTACACTTTTCGATACCTAAAATGAAACTCTTTTCACTAAACTTTAAAGGAATTTGTTTGAAATATTCTTTATATCAGCACACACAACAGTTTCATTTTAGAGAATAATAAATATTCAGAACTTATATCAATAAATAATCGAAAAATACATTTACATATTTGGATTTTCATTGTAAAAACTTTAAGTCGATGGGGTTATTTCACAAAATATCTTAAGAGAAAAAATACTCCCTCGTTGTGATAATTTAAGAGTAACCTACCATTTTTTCAATGCATAGGATTTGTTTGTGAAAAGAGTTCCGGACGATGAAAAAAATATCATTTTTTTAACTGGATATTTTTCACATGGATTATCGTTTGAATCATTTAGTCATACAGAGAACTCATATGATTAGTTTACCTTTGATATTCCTGTACTACACAACTCAATTGCATCTATTTATGTATATATCTATATGTACAACCAAGTCTAAATTGAAAACAACGTTCAAACCTATGGTTGCGTTGGATAAAAACCGCAATTTTTATACGTGTGCATGCAAAACAAATTTCTTGTTAGAGGGGTCTAAATACAGCACAAACAACATTTTCCAAAATATCAAAAAAGTGAAAAATTATATTTTAACAAAACGCATTTGCCTTACAGGTCGAACAACAAAAGTTCTAAAACCCTGCTGACTGCCAAATTTAATACCAACCAGAAAACAATAAACTTGCGGCAGAGATGGTATACCGCAAACAAAGGTTCAAAGATTTTTTGTACACCATATCCGGATTTCGACAATTAATGTCTCTTCAGTGATGTTAGGAATCGAAACGGTTATTGGAAGGCCACATAATTTACTTCAATTTAGGATAGACTCTTGAATTTTGAGGAGTCAACATAGGATGAACGGATCATATAAACCCGCAGGCAAATATAATACAAGCCCAAACGAAAAAATATAAACAAGTCTAAATTGAAAACAACGTTCAAACCTATGGTTGCGTTGGATAAAAACCGCAATTTTTATACGTGTGCATGCAAAACAAATTTCTTGTTAGAGGGGTCTAAATACAGCACAAACAACATTTTCCAAAATATCAAAAAAGTGAAAAAGTATATTTTAACAAAACGCATTTGCCTTACAGGTCGAACAACAAATGTTCTTAAACCCTGCTGACAGCCATTGGCGATTGCCAAATAAACGGATCACAATATGTAATAAATGGATCTTAACTATAAATTTAATACCAAACAGAAAACAATAAACTTGCGGCAGAGATGGTATACCGCAAACAAAGGTGCAAAGATTTTTTGTACACCATATCCGGATTTCGACAATTAATGTCTCTTCAGTGATGTTAGGAATCGAAACGGTTATTGGAAGGCCACATAATTTACCTCAATTTAGGATAGACTCTTGAATTTTGAGGAGTCAACATAGGATGAACGGATCATATAAACCCGCAGGCAAATATAATACAAGCCCAAACGAAAAAATATAAACAAGTCTAAATTGAAAACAACGTTCAAACCTATGGTTGCGTTGGATAAAAACCGCAATTTTTATACGTGTGCATGCAAAACAAATTTCTTGTTAGAGGGGTCTAAATACAGCACAAACAACATTTTCCAAAATATCAAAAAAGTGAAAAAGTATATTTTAACAAAACGCATTTGCCTTACAGGTCGAACAACAAATGTTCTTAAACCTTGCTGACTGCCATTGGCGATTGCCAAATAAACGGATTAAAAGGTGTAATAAATGGATCTTAACTATAAATTTAATACCAAACAGAAAACAATAAACTTGCGGCAGAGATGGTATACCGCAAACAAAGGTGCAAAGATTTTTTGTACACCATATCCGGATTTCGACAATTAATGTCTCTTCAGTGATGTTAGGAATCGAAACGGTTATTGGAAGGCCACATAATTTACCTCAATTTAGGATAGACTCTTGAATTTTGAGGAGTCAACATAGGATGAACGGATCATATAAACCCGCAGGCAAATATAATACAAGCCCAAACGAAAAAATATAAACAAGTCTAAATTGAAAACAACGTTCAAACCTATGGTTGCGTTGGATAAAAACCGCAATTTTTATACGTGTGCATGCAAAACAAATTTCTTGTTAGAGGGGTCTAAATACAGCACAAACAACATTTTCCAAAATATCAAAAAAGTGAAAAAGTATATTTTAACAAAACGCATTTGCCTAACAGGTCGAACAACAAATGTTCTTAAACCTTGCTGACTGCCATTGGCGATTGCCAAATAAACGGATCAAAAGGTGTAATAAATGGATCTTAACTATAAATTTAATACCAAACAGAAAACAATAAACTTGCGACAGAGATGGTATACCACAAACAAAGGTGCAAAGAGTTTTTGTACACCATATCCGGATTTCGACAATTAATGTCTCTTCAGTGATGTTAGGAATCGAAACGGTTATTGGAAGGCCACATAATTTACCTCAATTTAGGATAGACTCTTGAATTTTGAGGAGTCAAAATAGGATGAACGGATCATATAAACCCGAAGGCAAATTTAATACAATCCCAAACGAAAAAATATAAACAAGTCTAAATTGAAAACAACGTTCAAACCTATGGTTGCGTTGGATAAAAACCGCAATTTTTATACGTGTGCATGCAAAACAAATTTCTTGTTAGAGGGGTCAAAATACAGCACAAACAACATTTTCCAAAAGATCAAAAAAGAGAAAAAGTATATTTTAACAAAACGCATTTGACTAACAGGTCGAACTGTCACGGAATAGAAGTTCCTTTATAATATAAGTTCCAAAAGGAAAAAATGTTCTGGAATATTATTTCCACAGGAATAAATATTACAGTATATGTTCCTAACGGAATAAATGGTATAGAATATTTGTTCCAACAGGAATATTTATTATGACATTGTTTATAACAAAGATTCCAGTGGAACTTCTGTTAGGCGGAACAAATATACGTTGACAGAACAACAAATGTTCTTAAACCCTGATGACTGCCATTATATATATCTTTATGTATATATAATTAATTTAAAGACTTCTGTATAATGCTTTTATGTCTCTTGACCAACGATAGTTAGTGATAAACTAAATTGCTGTACTCGTCGATATATCATTCGTGTATCTCACGAATTGGAGTCTTTTTTAATTACAAAACTTATTTTCTTGTAACGTATTTTATTGTTGAAGAATGAATGTTGCCCGTTTTTTAATTTTTTTGTCGTTTGTTGGTGTCTCATTGACATACAACCGGATCCCCTTTTCTTCATATTTAAAAACATACGAGATGACACCAATACCAATTCATGACACAAAATAACTGAGTTAAACTAACAGCAGGAGAAAGAACAGGAAAAGCGCATTCATGTTTGTACTTAATCTCGAAGTCACAATGTGGTCTTTAAATAAAAAATTTTGTAAATCCAAAAAAAAAAAATAATAAACTTTGAATGTTTATATCGGAAAAAATAACGTTGTGTAAATTATAACAATTATTTTAATTTCAATCCATATAAAGCTGTTGCTTCTTTCCGCTTCGAGCAAAGTTTGACCACATTTTAAAAATTAATTTCCTGCATGATACATATATTATATGCACATTTTCATTGCGATCTTAAAAAAAGGACGAAGTTGATATATAAACTACCGTCAATTATTGTGTATGTGTAAGTTGGGCCGTTTTTAAAAACAAAATGAATTGGTTAAAAAAAAAAAAATTGGAAAGGAAAAAAATACTTTGTTTCAGAAAAAAGAGAAAAAAACTAATGAATTTACATTCAAAATTAAGGACGAAAAAAAATACCACACTAAGATTAAAAAAGTAATGTTCATGGTTGTGCATGAGAAGAAGAAAAACAATCCCCCGCATAAAAAAACAACAACACACACATACTCAGAAAAGGAAGAATAGTCGGTGCATAATCATTCTGATACCAATGGTTTTTCACAAGAATGGTAGTTAGCATAAAAGTTCCAGTTTCCAAAATTCACCAATGTTTTCTGTACATTTTATTTCATTCCATTTGCTTTCGCAAAATGTCCTAAACATGTAGACATTCTGTAAAGAAAGAGAAATAGATTGGCTTGCCATCCCGGGGATGACGTTTACAGTTTTTGACCTATTGAAGATGTGTGCAAGTTGCCAACTGGAGTGGAAATCAGACTTGTAAACGCATTATGTTCGTAATATGCAAAATGAAAGCAAATCAAATAAATCCAAATCAAAACTTTATTGATATAAATGTATCGGATTGAAACTAATAATGCTAGATTATAAGAGAGTTTTGTTTATTTCCGTCATCATGGTATTGATATATGCACCACTGCACGTGTTAGTTGTTCAAAATATCTTGTGTCCGCATTTCGGCTATCATATTTTTTTCGGTGGTGAAAATGCGGACACTTGCTTATTCCTGTTTTGTAATCAAAATTTAGACAAATCAGTAAAAATAATTAAAAGAAATGTTTCCTTGCATAAATTACGCAATGCCTATCGCTTTTCAACACATAAATTGCCATTCTTACATTAGCAACTGTGTATTGAATGTGACACGCTGACTTTGGACCTTTTTCAAAATTTTCCGGTTTTCAAACTTGTTGACATAAGCTATTTATAGCATGCAATTTCAATCACATGACATAAAAGTAAATCGTAAGCAATAGACATAATAACTTTATTGCAACAAAAAAGAGATTCAATAGTAAACAAAACACCTGATTTTTTATATCTATTTTATTTCAATTTTTCATAATTTTATTGAAAAGTGAGATATTCGTTTTCCGTCCGCATATCGGCGCTGTCCGCAATTAGGCGATTTTCCCCTATACTGTTTAAATTTCATGACAAGAAAACGTATGGGTCAATTTCAAAGTATAACAACTGACGTCAATAGCAGTGACATGATACATGTGCGATTCAATATTTACGGAGTTACTTTTGTTTTTTGTAAACATCAAAAGTGTTATCAACTTAAAACTATGCTAATAGATAATGGACAATTTGACAATGTAACAAAAACAGTAATAGTTTTAAATGCTTTGTGAGTAAATACATCCTTCTTGATATTTATATATCTATACGGAGATATTTCCTTTCAAAACGATAGGTCTTTCTTTTGAAAAAACAACATGGACTACACCAAATTTCAAATGAAATATTTTACCCTGACTTAATGCAACCTACAGTTTACTTAAACAATAATCAGTTTGATAGTTATTGTGTGTTGTTGTCAATTGGGGTTAACTTTTCAATTTTCCATCTTTAATAGGTTTTAGGCAGACACAATCCTTTTCGCATTAACAACACATACCAGAAAACGTCGTTAACGCACATTTTAACTTTCGAAACAAATTAATATACTTTTTGTTAATGCCGCTACAATAAAGGGGCAATTTATGAAAATATATATTAATCCAAAACACTTTTAAATCAGCCCAACTTTACCACTTTCGTGTGTAGGATTATTAAAAACAAAAGTATAGAATATCATTGATTCCCACTGTCCTGGAAATCGTACATTGACCTATGGATGTCCGTTTTTCATGTTACATGTACATTTCGATTTTGTGCTCTCGTCATGCCAGTTCTTGATTTTTTACGTTTACATATACGTTTTATTCTATCAAATGACCATTTTTTTTTTTCTCATTTTCTATAGAAGAACAATCACGTACTTAAAAATGAAAAAGAAGAGGCAATATTATTTTATCCTGATTCTCAATTTTTTATTTTTAAAGAAACAATTGTGTTGCCAGACAAAAGAGGAAAAACAATTATTCTTAATACTTCGTTTAAAATTGTTGAAAAAATAATCTGTTTTTCCACGGTAAAATTGTTTTGAAACAAAAGAAAAAACATAGCATCCCCATTTTATAAAGTAAACATAATAAATTACTGGCAAAGTGACTTGTATTTTTTATACAATGTAACAATCCATTTATTTCTTGCGTCATGCAATTACAGTAACATTTTTATTGTAACTTGACAGTGGTGTCTAAAGTTTATATCTAGTTCATTTCCGGGTTTGTTTCACATTATAAATTAGCCGTAGGGCGTATTTACACTGTGTATCATCACCACCGGATATAGGTACCCTTGGCCTGGTTCTCTGTTCATTGTCTAAGAAAATCAACATTACTGTACAAATACCAGCGTATAGCTACCTGGGTACCTATATGTTGGAATATGTACAGTAATGTAGTTTTTCTAAAACAATCAACAGAGAACCAGGTCAAGGGTACCCATATCCGGTGGTGATGATACAGTGATTTAAACCTACATGCATTTAATGTGATCGATACAATAGGATACAAATTAAAATAATATTTTTTGACGGTATACAAGTCAGATAATCCATATTTTCAGGGTTTTCTTGTCGTATTGCACACCTTTGGGTGTAGGAATTGCCTAAAAGAAAGATGGTCGGTCTTTAATTTGATCAATCCTGATACCCATCAGTGTGTTATACGACAGGAAAAACCTTGAAAAATATGCATTATCTATAGCACAAAAACATTGTTTTGCCGTTTATAAAACCCCAGGAAATGTTTGAGTAAAGTTTTGAAACCTCGCATAAGAAACAGATATATTAATCAAATGTTTCATCCTGTTTTCGTCATGATATTTACATTTTAATAGTTAACCAGTAGTTCGAAATAGCGATCAACTCATAAGAGCAAAACCTAGCTTGTGTCTACAAGTCACTGCAATCATCGTGTACACACTTTACGATGAATGAACGTAATTGCTTATCTAATAGAATATCAATAAACATACGTTCAAGAGTACTTGGCATTTAGGAACAGGGTACACCTTTCTCAATTCTAAAATGATATCAAGATGTCCATTCCGCATTGTTGAAAGAACAGTCGTGGTTTTTGGCTCTATAGGAACTGGAAATAAAACAAAATATCTATCTCATATTTCTTTATTCATTCTTTCATCTTATCTTCTAAATTAAATTAACTTCAAATCGTTCACTATGAAATGAGCAACTCATAAAAATAATCATAAGTGCAATACATCTGCGAAGATAAAGATATATATAGTTTATATATTATTTTATATAAAGAAACACTGCATTGTTAATCTTTACATTCGTCAGGATATGTACACAAATATTTCTTTTGTCGGAATAGCTTATAGCTTAACAGAATATTGCTTGCTAAAACGATAAACAAGCTTATTTTGTCCAGTACATTTGCATGCAAAATTAAAATGGAAAACCAGAAGTAGTCTGAGATGAAATTATTCAACTAAAATGTTAAAAATCCTGTATTTAAATATTTCGGACATAGACGATTTTTAAAGACACCAACGTCATTAGCAATCAGGGAGACTCGACCTTGTGCAATTACTGGAAATGTCTATACAAAAAACGAGAAAAAAATTATTCTTTAAACTATGCATTAGCATATCATCGTGATGCTTATCCAAAACATATTCAGTCTCAGTCATTAAACAAATAAAACAGTATATGTACCCTTATCAATAAGTCTATTAAGCGTGTATTTGAAATCATGCCACAATAAATCCCTTTATTTGTGATAAAGGTCAGTAAAAAGTGAAATGATAGAAATATCGTACTCTAAGAAAAATTCAAAATGGAAAGTCCCTTAACAAATGGCAGAATCAAAAGCTCAAAAACATCAAACGAATGGAGAACAACTGTCATATTCCTGACTTGTTACCGGCATTTCCTTATGTAGAAAATGGTGGATTAAACCTGGTTTTATAACTAGCGAAACCTCTCACTTGTATGAAAAGTGTTCACCAATTAATGATATATGTATCCATGCTGTAAAAAAATATGATATTATTACGTTCATTGGATTCCGGCGCATTTCGAGCCAACTGAGAAATGTTAATTCCATAAGAAGAAGCCAACGGAAAAATACCAGAAAGGAGAAAAAAAAGCCTATCCGTTTATATATAAAATTTTGGTATGAATTATTAATGTGAGATTCTAAAAATTTTTAAAAAAGGACATCGGTCACTATTAATGTTTGATTTTAAGATGAGTGTATTTTATTGAGTTTGTTTGGTTTCAAAAGTGTTAATCACGCGCATAATATCTTATCATACTTATAATGTAATATTTACTTAGTATAAACAAATTATATTAAGCAACATTTTGAAAGCACCCTCACACATCAATTTATACCTGAATTGAAGAAAGAAGTCTCATGGCTAATAAATCGTATTTAGATTCACAAGTAAACCAGACACAAATTGAATTGAATATATATTTTTAAAATTAGTTTTGGATCCAGCTTTCATATATTGTATCAAAATACTTTGACACATTATATATTCAAAAAGCTCATCGGTTTCACTGAATGAATTTTTTTTGATTATACGTTAGGGATTCGTTATAAAAGATTTAAAAAAAATGTCCATAGTAGACTTTTAATGGCATATATACCTGCATTGGTTCAATAATTTCCTAAACATTATAATTTCAAGAAACTCGTTTCATATGACTGTAAATACTACTTTATATTCTATGAGCATAATGAACTGCAAACAATTGTAGCACCAAAGGTAAAAATCGATAGAAAAATATAAATTGACAATGACCAGTATAATATTCATTATTATATTGTTATCGTTTAAAACTGGGAGAATTCCGGAAGATGCATCCTAGATTCCATCATTTCCTACATAAGGAAATGTCGAATCAAGTCAGGAATATGACAGTTGTCTTCCATTCGTTTGGTGTGTTTGAGCTTTTGATTTTGCCATTTGATAAAGGACTTTCCGTTTTGAATTTTCCTTGGAGTTCGATATTTTTGTTATTTGACTTTTTCCCATAAGGTCCGGAATATCAAAAATGGTTTGTGACTGTCATGCACCTTAATGTAAGGATATTCGAAACTCTTAAGACACAACATTTTTTCAGAGTGTACCTTTAAATTACCATGATCAGAACTGTAAACAATATAACTATATATTAATACTCACAGACAAAATGTTCTTCTGTCAATCTTAGACGTTTTCTGTTTTCATGAAATCCAAATGAGCAAGAATAGTCACAGTTTACATCGCTTTCTCTGAAGTTAAATATTTCCAAAACGGACTCAAACCGATCGTTTCTATGTATGTTGGTTACTCTGTATTTTTTCTTATCCGCAGTACTGCCATGGAAGGCAATAGTTGAGTAATTTGCTCCACCTGTCCATGTTGGAGTACTGTAGTTGTTTGTTTTTAATTCCACTAGGCACGACAACCTAGCCGTTTGTCCAAATACTATCGGTGGATTAACGATCTTCCATTCGGCTGTGAAAATAAATCAATAATATCTAAATCTAGGAATAGTGATTTCATAAAAATTCACGAAAAAAAATTCTGCTTGTTTTTTGTGTATGTTTATTTTATGTTGTTTTTTTTTTCATTTCCCTTTGATTTGAGTGCGAAATTTTGTTTTGTTTTCTTTGGTGTAATGTGTTTTGTTTGTTTGTTGCAGTTCTGTACGATTTCGTTATTATTTTAAAGAATGTTCTTAGGCGCCCGCTTTTTCGTATGTTTTTCGTCTTTTCATATGCATTGAGTATATAGAGGTAAACAATACTTGATAATGTTTTATGAGTTAATATAACCGAGGCCAAGCTAAGGCATTAATTCACCATATTCATACAAAATGACCAAATATTGTGTGATCATTTAAAATATATATTCACAGCCATGTTTGATTTGCAATAAAAATGTAATCTAGTCCTTTTGTTGTTTATAACGTCAATATGAATTAACATATGAGTGTTTATAAGAGAAATGTAAATCATCATTGACAATAATTTCAACAGAGATGACAAGCACTGACATTACAATTTTTGGTGAGAAAAAAAAAATGAAAACAATGGAATTGAGAATAGAAAATATCGCACACTCCGTAGTCATTAGATAAGCTAAGTTATTTCTACGCCTATTATCGTGTATGCAATTTTAATTTATATTCAAAACGATTACTTTGCATCGTTTCTTTTGAATACTAGACTATATTTAAGCTAACTGAAAAATAATTTTACTTAGACCTACTCCATACCCATTTCACCTAAATAAGAAAACAATGTTGTTTATTGGCTGTTTTTCTTGTACAAGATGTAAGGATGGTATTTTATGAACAATATTTGGCTAAAGGTTGACTATACCAAGTTATATGGACCACTTTGATAAAAAAAATCTTTTAAGATTTATGAATTTGGTTTAAAAAATTGAATGAACAAAACAAATTGACGAATTCAAAAGTTAACTCTTTAGGACAATTCATCGATTTGACAAATCTTCAGCTCTTAGACATTTGACATACAGTCAAAATACTTTGGATGAATAAAGGCAACAGTAATATACCGCTGTCCGAAATTCATAAATCGATTGAGAAAAAACAAATCCGGGTTACAAACTAAAACTGAGTGAAACACATTAAATATAAGAGGAGAACTACGACACAACAGAAACACAACATTAAAATGTAACACATACAGAAACGAACTGTAATGTAACAATGGCCATTTTCCTGACTTGGTACAGGACATTTTAAGAAAAAAATGGTGGGTTGAACCTGGTTTTGTGGCTAGCCAAACCTACCGCTTTTATGGCAATGTTAAATATAACATTAAAATGACAACATTACATGACAGGACTACAATACAAATAAATGGGAGAACATATAGGACAGAAAAACATACGAATTATAGCTAACAAAAGGTACCAGGTTTAAAATTAAATACGCAAGACGCGCGTTTCGTCCACACAAGACTAACCAGTGACGCTCAGATAAAAAAAGTTCGAAAGCCAAAACAAGTACAAAGCCGAAGAGCATAGAGGACCAAAAGCTCCAAAAAGTTGTGCCAAATACGGCTAAGGTTATATGTCTGGGATAAGAAAATCCTTAGTATTTAGAATAATTCATACTTTTGCAAACAGTAAATTTATAAAAAAAATGACTATATAATAGATATACATGATAACACCGAAGTGGTGACTAACTACAGAATAAAACGGATACATAAAACAACAGAAACCAGCACATAAACATTCACAGCCGAGTTAGCCAACGAGATCAACGCAAAAAAAAAAGGTGACGTCACATTTGAATTTCTGAAATTTCCCCAAAATAGGATAGAATTAGGATAGAATTCAAGATTTGGTTTAAAATACTCATATAACATTTATTAATAACAATGAAAATTACAATACTAATTAATATAAAATGTGGTAGTAATTCGATAATTAATAGTATTATCTAGCTATGTCGGTGTTTCTTCTAAATCAAACTGTAAACCAAATATATCGTAAACATTTAGTTGACCCAAACTAAAATCTTTTTTTTTTTATTCAACAACAGTATTGCACACGCTGTTAACAATTACTCCACTGACACAGCTATCTCAGTGAAGGTCCCTGTTTCATTAGTACCAGAAGTTCAGGGATTCTTCAGGTAGATAAACTGCATATTGTTAGTCGTTTACAAATATTAATATAACATCAATAGATAAATAATGCTATTATATTTTAATAAAGTACTTATATCATCTGGCGTTATTTTCGGAATTTCATAGTTCATCCGAGTTTGGGATGATTTATAACCTATTACCAGTTTCAATGTGTTTCCGGATAACGGTTTATTTTAATCAATATCGAAAAAGATTGTAATTAGCTTTTTTTTACATCATTATTCAGGTAAGACAGTTATAATTTGAAGGATTAATAGTCATACGGTAATCGAAAAACAATTGTGCTGTGTTTTTTTGTAATGTATATACATCGTACCAGATTATATAAATATTGCAATGTCTATCATGCATCATAATTATATGAATACAAAATTAGATAATAAATTAATTAATACACAAAGATAACATTACTAACCATGTTATCAGTTCATACAATTCAAATACACCTAAATATTTTTTCTAATATACCTTTTCTTTCATGGTTAAAATATTTGTTTTGTAGAATGAGCCTATTTCTAAGCTCAGTTTTAAAAACAGAAAATACATTAATATTCTTAGTTCTAAACTCTGACAGATAGTGTATTTTGTGAATTGAAAACATAATCACTGTAAGAAAAAAATTAATATCATAGTATTCTATATCACTTATTTTGTAACCCCAAATAAAAATTTTTAGTGTTAAAATGTGTTTTCCAAGTTTAACTTTTTCTAACAGATTAAATATTTCTTTCCAAAATTTATCAAGAAAGTGGCATGTAATAAAAAAATGTTCATAATATTCTGTAATATTACAGTGATTACAGTCTGAGTTTGGGCATATTTTCCATTGTTTTAATAAAACTTTGTTTGGAAGAATAAAATGTAAGAGTTTCCATCTGAACATTTTTAATTTATTTTCTTTCAAATAATTATGAACAAATTTTAGTATATTTTGAGCGTTATTTTCTATGTTCTCAAAATTTAGTAGTCTCTTCCATTTGTAAAAGCCAATTGGTATTTCTTTATCTTGTTCTAATAATATTTTGTAAATTTTACTTGTTTCTAATTTATTTATATTTTGTTTCAAGTTATCTTTGTCATAAATATTCAAAACATTATCTGTTAGTACATTAGTTGTTCTTGAACAGTTTTCAGCTAATATATTAACCCATTCTTTTGGTAAAGCTTTTTTTAATTTTAAAAATTCAGTAATCCAGTTTGTCTTTTTTTTAAGCTTTTGTCTAATAAATCTTTCTGTTATATTTCCAGATTCATCAATGATATCATTTATGTATACTATGTTGCTATCTATCCAGTTTTGGAATAATAATGTTTTTTCCTGAAATTTTATCCACTGATTTCCCCAAATAACTTGTTGGCGGATTAGTCTGTAGTTTTTTGGGTATTTATTATTTTTATTATTATTTTTATTCTTAATCCAAACTTTGATTATATCAAGATAAAACTCCGGTAGTTTTTTTTATATCTGGTGTTGAATTTACACTATCCAGATTCATTTGCAATATAAGAAGATTGTTTCCGAATTTGTTTAAATAAAATTTTGGTATTACAGTCCAGTTTAAAAATTGCTCTGCATTTAGTCTTTTAATCCAACCTATTTTTATTGTTTCTATGTATTTCTCTAAATTAATCATTTAATTTGTCATAACTTAGTACAGAACGTTTAACCTTTTCTGTTTTGTTATTCCATAAAAATTCATATATCATTTTTTTAAACTGGTTTAAATACTCTTTATCTATGGTCGTGACAGATGCTAAAAATGTAATATTAGGAATAATTAATGATTTAGTAACTGTGATCTTTCCTATCATGGTTAAGTTTCTCTTTTTCCAATTAAGAATAATTTTTGCTGATTTTTCTAAAAGTTTTTCAGCATTTAATCTTTGAAACTCTTTTTTATTATGACCAAAATATATACCTAGGCTTTTTACAGGTATATTTGTCCAGTTAATATTTTCATGTTTATCTTTGCAGTTTTTTTGTTTCCCAAGCCAAACACCCTCAGTTTTAGCTCTGTTTAGTTTCAACCCTGGCAATGTTCCAAATGTTTCAATCATATTAAGAGCTTTTGAAATATCTTGTTTTGTTCTAAGAAAAAGAGTTGTATCATCTGCTAGTTGACTAATCTTTAATGTGTGAGTTTTGCCATCAAGTTTAATTTCAAAGCCTTTGAGGTCGTGGTCTTGTCTGATCCTACATGCTAAAATTTCAACAGCAATTACAAAAATTATCGCACTGCATGGGCACCCTTGCCTAATCCCACGAAAAATGCTTATAGGTTTTGAAATCCAACCATTGTTTATAACTGAGCTTTTAATATCAGTATATAGAACTTTAATCCATTTCAACATTGAACTTTTGAATCCAAATTTTTGTAAAGCTAAAAACATGAAATTCCACTCTAAAGAATCAAACGCTTTTGAAAAATCTAAGAAAGGTAAAGCTCCCTCTATGTTGAATTTTTCTGCAAAATCAATGATATCTTGAATCTGTCTAATGTTATATCCAATATATCTATTTTTAACATACCCGTTTTGATCCCCATGAATAATTTGTGGTAATATTTTACTAACTCTTTGTGCTAATGACTGACCTACAATCTTTGTATCTACATTTAATAATGTTATTGGCCTATAGTTATCTAGAGAGAGAGGGTCATTTTTTTATGTAGAAGGGAAATAACTCCTATTTTTTGTGAATTAGTTAATTCCCCTTTTTCAAATGAGAAATTGATTGTATTAACAGCAAATTCTTTCAAATCTTCCCAGAATATCTTGTAAAACTCTACACTTAACCCATCAATACCTGGGGCTTTATTAAGTTTC